TAAATTTCTAATTGCATTACAATCCTACTTTGAACACTGTATTCAGAAAGATGTTGCTTTTCTTCCCATTGAATCGCTCCCTTCTGCAACACTGAGGATAATTAAGACATATAAATGGAGCATGCACGCAGACACATGCATGCATTTGCATGCTGCTCGTGCAAGTGGGATGTGCGTGCGTGTGCGCCACTTCCACAGCCCGATTTGGAACAGCTCAAGGTCCAGTTGGGGACCCCTGGCTTAGCCAATATATTGTTCACTGTAAATTGAATAAATCATGGCACATTCATACATCATATAAACCTAAAATAATTGCTTCATTCAATGCCCTGATCCCAAACCAAATTAGTTGAGGGTCAAAAGGGTTAAAGACTGCCTCTATCATTGGTCCTAATACCTAATCTTGAACTTCAACCCATTCACTCTGGTTCTCTGAGATGCCAGAGAACAAGTCCATTCCTTCTGCTATAATATTTTATGTATTTGAAGTCTCTTCCTGTTCATTCTGTTCATTTAAATGTATTCACATGACCTGTTTTCCATTCTCCTCACCAACTTGTTAGCCATCCTCCAAAGTCATTCCTGCTCTCCTTTTTAGACTGCACAGTATAAGAAATCCTCGATTTACAAACATAATTGAGCGTACAATTATAGTTGTAAGTTTTGACAGCTATTAAGCGGCTCACCCCTTGACCATGCCCAATTTTACAACCATTTTTGTGGTGTTTGTTAAAATGGTGGTCCTAAAGTGAATGCAGTGGTCAGTGCAATGGGAATCCAGAAGAGCAGAAGCACCGTTCCTTTTCCCACAATCTGACAAAAAAAAGCGAGTGCCATGGTCATTAAGCAAATCCACTGCCATGTGTGTTTTTTGCTGGAAACTGGAAGTAAATACCCGTTTCCAGCAAAAATGTTGTATAATGTGGTCACAGGCCTACCTGTAGTTAGCACAGTATTACAAGCATTCAACAAAGGCAGAATAAAACCATTGTGTGGATTATGGATTATAGAAATCAATTGTTAGTGATTGTTTTACAAATGTAAACCCAGACAACACACTGTTCACCAATTGTTAAGTGATTTGTTTTTTAAAAAATTCAATAAAATATATTACAAAAAAATGAGGCACTTTCCTGCTGTAATCTAGATCCTATGCTCTTGTTAATATAGTATATCCCAAAATAGCACTTGAGTTTGTAGCAGCTGAATCAGTGTCTGACTTCTCCTCCTTTAGATATAGTAGCAATAGCAATAGCAATTAGACTTATATACCGCTTTACAGTGCTTTACAGCCCTCTCTAAGAGGTTTACAGAGTCAGCCTATTGCCCCCAACAATCTGGGTCCTCATTTTACCAACCTCGGAAGGAAGGTTGAGTCAACCTTGAGCAGGTCAGGATCGAACTGCTGGCAGTGAGCTGAAATAGCCTGCAATAGTGCGTTCTAA